GGGGGGGGGGGGGGAGGGAAGTGGGTTAGTTGGAGGCCAAAAATAAGAAGGTAGTCTGGTTGCAGTGACATGCAAATTCTTTTGCAAGTATAGGGATCTGGGAGAGTACCAGGCTTTTGAAAGCTGGCCGGTTATGGAATCAACAGTTTCTTTGTGTGATTTTGTCGATTTGGTGTCACTATGCACAGTGATCTGCATCATAGTTGTATCTGTTTACTGAACTATAACATAAGAATGCATTTGTAATCTGTCAGGCACATCAGGGATGTGTAAACACTATTGCATGGAACTCAAAAGGCTCACTGTTGATATCTGGATCTGACGACACTCGTGTACGATCTCTTACCTTTATCTTCATATAACCTTCGTGTATGTATTAGCTAGCTGTATGATCCCTGAACAACCAGTGAAAAGCACCTCAATAGTGCTTCTTTGATACATGTTTTTCAATGTTCATTCGTTTTCACTTGGTTTTTCGAAGCACATATGGGTGTCACACACAGCCTTTGGTCATGCATTGTCTCATTGAACCCAATCCCATCTTCCTCCCCTTGGTTCATAACATTTACACTTACTGTGGTTACTCATATTATTCAATAGCTATATCGTGCTGGTGTTAGTTTTTAGTATGTCGGATATCCCCTTGTTTGTGTTTCCGTAGTAAAACAGATTTGAGATGAGGGGATCAAGAGAGAGTGCTTGTCAGGTACAATATAGTTTTAACGTTATCTATAGGTAGCTTGAGCATACAACTGAATTCTTAAATTTAAACGTCTTCTTGATCTTTAAGCTAAAAAGACAGATGATAGTGTTGGAAGTATGCATCATGTTTTGAGACAGATGGTTTGAACTAGTAAATGCAGGCAGGAAGTTACATATGCCAGTTCTGTTATGAATTCACATGACATAATCAATTTGTTAGGCTTTGACAAATGAAGGTCACAGAAGATCACCACGTTAAATGTAACTACATACAGATCAGGTCAAATTGAGGGCAAGAGCTTTAACAATTATTGGCCTCAACACCTCCGTACTCTAAGAGCTATGGCTTTTAGGAAGAAATATTTTGAAGATTCAATCTTAGGCATGGTAAGAGACTGGGCTTTACAAAGCACTCATTTAATTCAGTTGTTTGCCAGACTCGCCTCTTTATCTGCATTTTTGATTAGGTTTATATTCAACAATTGATGCTTGCTGGGGAACCTTGCAAGTGCAACTAGGATCATGAGTCAAAACCCAAATACCTGAATCAAATCCCTTTTGTCCAACAGAATAACATTGTATAAAGTGTGTACCCTTGTCATCAGCTGGGTTTTCTGGAGATAATACATCACCTTGTTACATCATGAATTCGCTGATGCTTGTTTGAGTTCACATTCTAAACATGTGATATTGTAAAGCTTATTGTGATGCACACGTAATTGTCCCCATGCATGGCTCGGCATATTTTATGTATGTTTTGGTGGCTTATGATATGAAAGTTAAAAGCTTGAATTATAAGTGTTCCATTTTACTGCAGGTCAATCTTTGGAGTTATCATAGCCGCAAACTTTTGCATTCCATTGACAGCGGTCATACTGCAAATATATTTTGTACTAAATTTGTTCCTGAAACATCTGATGAGTTGGTTGTATCTGCAGCTGCTGATTCTGAAGTAACGCTTTTGTTTTGCTTATTGCCTGATACAGCTTCATTAACATGTTCTTTTCTCATATTTACTGAAAATTCGAATTTATGTTTATAGGTTCGACTTTTCAATTTGTCTCGCTTGGAAGGGAGAGGTGTTGAAGATAGCGCTATTAACCCATCAGCACTGTTTCAATGCCACACCAGGAGAATTAAAAAATTAGCTGTAAGAGATACTATCTTCCCCCTAAGTTATGCTTAAATATTGTAGTTCCTTATCAGCATAGCTTTTTTAACTCTGAAAGCTTGCCTACACCAGGCCAGTTGGCATATTGGATTGTTGTCCAAGGGTGCCAGGGTGCACCAGGAATAGTAAACCAGATGGAGTTTGGTAAAAAACGTCCATGGTTCCTGCAAACAATCTAAAAGTTACAATATACCAAGCTTATCCAACCACAAAATGCCATTGCTTATCTTGTGGTCCTCAACAGAGATGCACTTTATTGTAAAATATCAGTCTAGCAAGTCATGTAGCTTCTGCTCAAGATAGAAAAGTTAATAGAAGAACTATTAATGTTTGGCCTTCTATAATTCTGTCAGTATTGGTGCTGTAACAGAACATAAATGATCCAATCTTTGCTTCCTGCACTTTCTGTTTTCAGTGGACCCTTTTTTGGCACTTTTACTTTTGAATAGAGAAGGCACAATTTGACCTAATCTTGTCATAAGAGGCTAGAGGATTAAGTGAAAGAGCTCAAATAGCTTATCACTGCTACAAAACCCGAATATGAAGAAGATTTAGAGTACTTAAAGTCAAATAATTCTGGACATGAGTATTAAGTGAGATCAAAAGCTCTCATAACTTATAGGATATGCTTGTTGCTGACACAAGCTTTCACCTAATTGGCTCTTGATTCTACGACATCAAGTTTCAGATGGGATGTGCTTCTGCAACAATTTTGGCCTGGAAGTGATGGTAAAGAAGTGGGAAGACCTGTAGGGAGAAGGATGTAAATTGCACATAAAGTTGTCGCTGTGCAAATGGTAAAAATTGGGTTGTTGTGGAAGGTAGCCTTTGTAACCATTTGTAATTTTCTTTTAATAAGAGAGAAAGCTAGGTCAGAAGCTGAAAGAGAAATGAACAGATAGAAGGCAAGTGTTCTATTGGTCACATTATACATGGTATCTACGACTGTGATTGTTACAAGGACCCTCCCAATGGTGAAAGGTAGAAATCAAAAGAAGATCATTTTAACAGTAAATCAAGCTGTTGAACATGATAATTATGATCATTTTACTATATTCAGTTTTATATTAATTGGTATAATATGACTATGAAAGTGGATCTACACACACATGGATTACATTAGCATGTTACATCGAAGCACCATGCACATAAATAAGGTACAGTAGAAACTAACCCTACAAATTACGTGCTATTAACCTAAGCAACTACTACATGTACCATAACGTTGAACAAAAACTACCACATACTTTGCAATATATAGTGGTACTGGTAACATGTGGGATAGTATATCTTGTTATAGTCGTATCTTATCCAACAGGAAAGGGAAACCAGTATGTAGAATACAGTAGAGGGCCATCGACCTGTCAGAAACCCTGAAATACAAACCCTAAATTACACTGCTCAAGTTAGAGCATATATATCAGGCATGCCCAACTTGTTACATATAGGGTTATTTGAGAACCTCAAAGAGATTTTGTTGATGTATTTTCACTGACAAAGGAGGATCCCAACTTTTCAATGAGCTATAATCAACTCAAACCAATAAACAATTCTGGAATTAAATTGAGATTCTCGAGATTATTGGTTATAATCTTCAAGTAGACAAACTTCATGTTTTGGCCTTCATTGGTGGTTTTTCTTCCGGACAAAAGCTTTGTGCTACAAATATAATATTGGTTTGCTTGAAGCTATTTTCTTGCTTCCTTGTGACCACTCCTTTTTCTGTTGCAGGTAGAACCTGGGAATCCCAATGTGGTCTGGAGTGCTAGTGAGGATGCGACTTTGAGACAACATGATTTCCGGGAGACCACTGCTTGTCCAGCTGCTGAATCTACTCACCGCGAATGTCGCAATGTATTAGTAAGTAGGAAGTTAAAGTGTATGCGGGTCCGGTCCTCTCCTTTTTCTAGAATACTTCTGGATGATTCCACTAAGCTACAATCAACTCAAACCAAAAAACAATCGTTGTGACAATTTTTTATGAATAAATTTTGTCCTATAACACGAAAAGCACATGATGCCAGTCAACTGATTCAGCAAAATCTTCTCTTGACTTGCACACTTAAGTGAGCTACAAGTACACTTTATTCTTTCAGCAACTACAGAGGTTAATTTATTGCTTTTCTTTTGTTGAACATGGACTCTTGATGGCTGTGAATTTGTAGGCCTGTTAACTATCTCCAATAAGTTCTCCAAAATTTCTTCAAAATGGAGAGTGGAACTTCAAAATCTCTAAAACAAAAATACATTCAACTCCAACATATTCTCCATTTTGGAGATTACCCCACATTGATCACATTATTAAAATATCCCATTCATCTAATAAAATATTATTTCTCTCTCTAAAAATTTAATTTCAAAGTTTCCCATTGGTGGGAATATACTAAAAGATATTTATCTCTCATTGTAATCATTTTGCAGAAGTTCTCCAAATTTGGAGAATTTTACACACTTCTGTTTTCTCCATTTTGGAGAATTTGTTGGAGCAAAAAACATCCTCAAAATCACCAAAATCTGCATTTTCTCCATGTTGGAGAATCTGTTGGAGATGCTCTTATGGGTTCTGTTTCTTTGATTACATCCAAAGTATTAAGTTTTTCTTTGAATTGAAGGAAGGGTTTTCATTTTTAAGCCAACATCCAATCTGTGGTTGATGAAATAACTAAAGTCTTATTGCTTCTACAAGTACTTTAATCCTATGCTGAAAATTATTGACCTAATCTGTATTATCGTATTTTCTCAAAATTGTTAGCTGAACTATCTCCTTTTATAATTTTTTCACATGTTTGGTGTTTGATGCCAGCTTGACTTGCGATGTGGAGCAAAGAAGTCATTAGCCGATCCTCCTAAACAGCCACTCGTGCTGAAGTCTTGTGACATTAGCCCGACGAGGCCTCATTTGCTCCTTGTTGGTGGGAGGTACACTTCAAGACTCTTCTCACTTGCACCCATCTTTTCCCATCCTCACCTCAGCTGATTGCTACTCCCAATGCTTGCAGTGATGCATTTGCTCGCTTATATGATAGACGGATGCTTCCACCACTTTCTTCCTGCCGGCAAAAGTTGCCACCACCTCCATGTGTTAACTACTTCTGCCCATTGCATCTTTCTGATCATGTTTGTTCCTTGTCAATATCTCCTTAATATTGTGATTCTGTGTTACTTTTGATGATTAAATTGATCGTGTAAAGCTATTCAATTTGTTTGTTATGTTATTCCAATATGCAAAGGCTTTGATGATATTTGCTAGTTGAGATCATATATTTTGTATTCACTATCATATTTAGTAAGGGAGGGTGCAGGTGTAGGCTTGACCAATAACCGAAATTCTCAATTTTCTATATGGTATATTTGGGACTTCCAAAAACTATAGAGTGGTGTATGTGAGGTTCTCCCTGTGGTTGGATCCCTGTCCATGTTTTAAATAAATTTGTGGGAGGTTTAAATTTGGATGAAGAAATCAAATAGTTCCCTATTCTATATACGTAAGAACTATAATTGATCCAATATCAAATATAATTGGAACATCGATGTAATTTTTTTTGAAGATCGTCAATTTTTGTTGTTGACTTATGTGATCTGTGATATTGCTACTTTATACTATGCTTGGGAAAGATAATATATAGTACTTGAGGCCCCACACCTCAAACGTGCTGCTTCCTCTGTTCTTTGGGATTATATGGTTTTGTTACTCTGTTTGTTGAATCTTAGGGCACTGGCCTTGGCATGGCTTTACCCTATGATGGGTAATGTAATTTGAGCATTGGTTTATATGGTCCAATTTAAAAAGCAAATGCATGTATGTTAGTATACAAGAAAAGCTTGATAAAATGAGTCTTCGTCTTCGAGAGGAAGGCTAGAGCATGTGATAGGCCTGCAGTGTGATTCACGTACACAAGGAGGAATAGAAAATAAGAAGGTTAGGGTGCTTTAGTAAATATTCCTGTCAGTTAATAAAAACCCAGGCTGGAATAAACCAGTTAGTGGCAACTAATTTGTTAGGAAGTTAGTTAGCTAACCTTAGTTGATTAGGTATGACAAGAGGACCTTGATTGTGGATAAGCATTCAATTTCTTTATTGATTGTAAAAGCTAGAGAGCCTTGAGGGAGGGTACCAACCTCTCAAAAGGCTGGATGATTTCAGATTCTATTAAATCGAGCTTATTCTTTCGATTAGTTCTTAAGCAATTTTGTTCTAGAGGCATCAATTGGATTAGAGTTATAGATCCAAGCTATGCCAAGAAGTCTAGCATTTACGTTGGATAAAATGAAGCGAAGCCTGTACATGTGGAGGTCAGTTGCTAAGAAACAAATCAAGGTGCTGATCATGATTCACCAGGAAGTAGCAAGAAGAGAACAAAGACACATGTGCCATCCTCGACGGAGGAAGAAAGTGCGGATCCAAACAAGAAACGAGATAATGATGACAGGTGCTATGCTTATGCTCATTTTCTCGTATTAGAAGGTAGGGAGCGCATGATGCCTTGTTCAAAGTATTTGATGTCTACAGCTGGATCTTACGAACCAAAAGGTATTTTTGCATTGAACATACTCACAAATGAAGAACTCTAGAGGCTTCATTAATTTATTTCGGAGGCAACACATTGTTGTGATTGCAATGCGAGCAAAGGAGGTAGCCAATCGTTTTGTGAGAAGAATCGAAAAGATTGTTGTTGCACCAGTTTCGTAAAAGAGAGGGACATTATGAACTGATCACAAATGGAAGTTGGTACCATTAGTAATGCCCTTGGATGATATTTTGTTGGAAGTTTTTGTGTCACTTCGTAAACGGGTCTAGTCCAGAGAGGACAAAAGTGAGAATAAGGTCCCCTAATGGTGTGTGCAAACCTATAGATCTGGCACAAAACGTCGAAGAGAAGTACAAAGCCTTGCTTTTAACAAAAATGATGATACAAAAACGTCGACCCACAAGTTAATTAACTTGGAACCTTCGTATGAGATAGATTAGGCAACGAATATCCCAGGTATAGTATTCTTCAACTAACCTAGAGCAATCCTTGACCCAGTAGTTAGGAAACTAAGAACCAAAGGAATCTAGAATGCCACAAGATCGTGCTCACAATCTTGATAAGTTCTTGAACGATGAATGCTCTTGCAAGAAATCTTGGCTCACAATTGAGTTAAACTCAAAAACAAAGTGTTTGTAATTCAAGGATGATGATCCAAAATGATTACAAAAGACTCCTATTTATAGGGTTCTAAAGTGACCCCAAAAGACTCTCTTAAAAGCTAACTTAAATTTCAATCAAGAATTAAAGACACACCTTTAATTCATGAATCTAGACATGCTTTATGTGCTAATTCAAAAGACTTTTGGTCACCTAAACTTTAAGATAGGCCAAAAAACGTATTGGGCTTTCAAATCAAGTTTATTGGGCTTAAATATAATTTCGGACCAAGGAAATAGTTCAATTTGGGCTCCAAAGTAATGGTTAATGGTTTTGTTCTTTGAAGTGGCCCAAAAACTAACAATCTTCAACACAAATGCTTCTTTTTAACTTCTTCAATTATCCAAAGCTCCAATAAGTATAATATCATGCATTACATGCATATCTTCATTGGACTTTAATGCATTTGCTTGAATCTCCGCAATTAAGCTCATCAAAGCTTCCTTGATTAGTTTTGATCTTGATCTTGTAATTGGGCCATCTTGAATCTTCAAGGGATCTTTTGGTGCTTGATAAGTTTGGTTAGGTAGTCCTTCATCATTCTCTCCCCCTTGGAAAGGATTCGTCCACGAATCATCACCTACATCATAAGGAGAAAGATCAAAATCATTAAAAGTAGAGCTTACTTGATACTCACTAGGAAGATCTAGCTTGTAAGCATTATCATTGATTCTTTGGATGACTTGGAATGGTCCGTCTCCTCTAGGCTGCAACTTTGATCTTTTTTTTGCTGGAAACCTTTCTTTCCTCAAGTGCAACCAAACCCAATCTCCGGGTTCAAACACAACTCTCTTCCTACCTTTGTTTGCTTGCTTCATGTATTGATCTGTTTTCTTCTCAATGTTGAGTCTTACCTTCTCATGTAATTGTTTCACCAATTCAGCCTTCCTTTTTCCATCTAGACTGGTACGTACTTCAATGGGAATAGGAACAAGATCAAGGGGACTCAATGGATTGAATCCATACACATCTCAGAAGGAGAATAGTTAGTAGAAGAATGCACACTTCGATTATAAGTGAACTCAACAAAAGGCAAGCAACTTTCCCAACTTTTCAAGTTCCTTGATGTAACACCCTAAAAAAAAAAACTATAAGGTAAGAGATAAATTGAACCCAAAACACAAGCGGAAACTAGAGTTTAATATGGATCGACCAATAAAGGGAAAGGATATAGCATTTACAAACGATTAAAGGGGCGATAATAAACAACCTATTAATCTAAACAATCCTATGCCTAGATTAGGAACGAGTGTTTCTATCGTCTCCAACAAAATACCGTATCGCTAAAAATTGTAACACTCCAAAACGCCAAGTGTTTTATCTACAAAAGACACTTTTCGTGAGACGACGCTCCTCTCAACCCTTCAAAGCCCCCACTAAAGGAACCTGATAAACAAATTATTTCAAGAAAAAGGGTTAGGCTTACGCCTAGTGAGTCCAAATATAGTACAAAAGGGCCAATAAACAATTATATAAATGGGTGCATAAAAATGCATGACGAAATTTTAAACATAACAAAGGTAGCATTTAACTCTAATTAACTCGAGGTGGGGTTACACATCCGAAGATGACGGGGGAGACCCGATTTACCGTTAATTATGACGGAACACAAAGTAAGTCATAAATCAACGTTAGAGAGCATCGCTTGCAGGTTTAATACCATTGTCATCAACCTAACCAGTCATGAAGTCAATCGCGATCTTAAGCTCTTTACCTCGGAAATTACATAATAATCACAATGCCTATTTCCGAGTGGGAGTGAGAAGGTGATTTGGAATTTACATAATGATCACAATGCCTAAATCCACCTCACACCACCCTTCACACCAATACAATGAAACAATTTTCATGCTTTCAATCCCACTATATTCTAGTGATATGCTTGAATATGGTATCATAATCATAATGGTACTTATTTATTAATCTTACGCGTGTCCTAACACAAGAGAAATAACCCCACTTTGCTAATAAAGAGCTCTAAACTAGGGGGTATGAGGGTTTTAGTGTTTAATGGTCAACAACACATTGAGAAAGAGAATTTTACCAAGTGATTTGATCCATTTATCTAAAACTTAACTTAACTGTATAACTGGATTACCCAAGCTTGTTCTTTTTACCCAATAATCATCTTTTAACCTTTGTAATCAATTACAGGAAGTTAAGGCATAGTATAAGTAAAAGCTTTCTCACCAAAAGTGTAAATTTTCATAAAATAAAATTAGATGAACTCACCTTTGTAGGATTTAGGATAAATCCCAATTTCTAGGAATTAAACAGTAGACGGAAGGAGATCTTAGTTCGAAAGGGCAACACCTCGACACGGAATGGCAACAGCCAAGAAGACAGAAGGGGGAAGAAGAAGGCGCAGACTGCCCTGGGCGCGACACAACGACTTCCGAGCCTGGTCAAGACCGGCACTTAACTACGACAAACAGCAGCTTACTGCTGCTTCTAATTAGCCTGCTGACTTCGCCAAACAGTAGCTTGCTGTTTCTTTTCCTACCTGCTGCGCGCGTCTAACAGCAGCGAAGACTGCTTCGAATCCTCCTTTTTCCTTCGCCCGAACAGCAGCTAAGACTGCCGCTTCGTTACCTGCTGCTGCGTGCATCAAACAGCAGCGAAAGCTGCTTCGAATCGGTCCATTTCCTTCGCGCAAACAGCAGCTAAGGCTGCTGCTTCGTTACCTGCTACGCGCGTCTAACAGCAGCGGAGACTGCTTCGAATCAGCCTGTTTCCTTTGCCCGAACAGCAGCTAAGACTGCCGCTTCATTACCTGCTGCTGCGCGCATCAAACAGCGGTTACGGCGTTGTTTTCTCCTTCAAACCCGCAGCTAAGATGCTGTTTTTCCTTCCTTCAAACCAGCGGCTACGACTGCTGTGTTTTTACTTACACACCAGGCAGCTACGGCTGCCCTTCGCGCCTGACTG